GGTGGTGCATTCCTGTAATCCCAGCCCTCTGGGAGGCTGAGGCAGGAGGATCCAGAGTTTTAGCTAAGCCTGGACAATGTGAAAACTTAGTGATTTAGTGAGAACCTGTCTCAAAATAAAAAACAGAGCTGGGATGTCACTCATCGCAAAGGCGCTGATTCAATCCTCAGTTCTGTCCCCCAAAAACCTTCACACTAAAGATACAGAACATTGCATAATGAATTTGGGAGGATTATTTTACTCAACTAATTTTTTCTTTCTTTTTTATTAGTAGTAGATAAGGTCTACATCCCTTGCGGGGAGTCGGCACCCTACATAACACATCCCCAAGGGTGTTCCAGGTACAGCTGTAGGCCCCTATGTCAGGGTGGAGCTACATCAGGAAAACAAAAAGACAAAAACTCTCGCCTTTGAGGAGCTGATGTTCTAGTGATGGGGTGGGGGGCACAGACAGTAAACAAATGAAGCCATCTCCCCAGGATGTTAGCATGGCAGGGAGACGAACAGTACTGTGCTCTAGACTCACGGGCCCTCGGAGCAGAGGTGAGAGCAGGTTCTGAGAAGGAGGTTCTGGCTGGCACAGGCTCCAGTGCTCAAGGCCAGCAGGGGCCAGCGTGGCTGGGGCAGAAGGGACAGTGAGGCTGCAGAGGGTACAGGGCCCCCAGGACTAGGCTTTTGTTCCCAGCGAGATGGGGAAGTCAGAGAGGCTCTGAGATAAAACCACATCTCACTGGAGACAGCAGCTCGGAGGAGGAGGAGGAGGAGGAGGTTACTATGGCGCGAAGGAGCAGAGGGGACAGCACAGTTAGCACCAGAGAAGGGTAAGTGAGAAGGCCGGCAAGAGATGGGGTAGCGGGAGGAAGGGGCGGGGAGGCACCAACTCCCATGGTGAGCGCAGGCACTGAGTGCTGTGAACAGGCACTCCTCAGAATGAAGGCTGGTTGGCTGGCTGGTTGGTTTTAAGAGAAATACTAGCCTGGCGTGCTTGTGGGTACAGGGTGTTAAGCTTTAAAAGCCACATTTCTTGCCAGGCAGAGTGGTGGTTGTCTGTCATCCCAGCTACTCAGGAAGCTGAAGCATGGGGATTCTGGACCCAGGAATTCAAGACCAGCCTACGTAACATAGTGAGACCCTCTCTCAAAACAACAACACCTGCTTTTTCTACTTCCCAAATGCAATGCTTAAATGTCCATATGGCAAGAGACAGAATGAATCACTGAAATGATTCATTTATTCATTCAATGAATTATTTGGTATCTATTACCACACACACACACTGATACAAGTAGAACATTTCTAATCCAAAATTCAAAATGCTCCAAAATCCAAAACTTTTTTCTTTTTTTTGAGGCAGGGTCTTACTATGTATGTAGTCCAGGCTGGCCTTGAACTCACCATGCAGCTCAGACTGGCCTCAAATTCACAGTAATCCTCCTGCCTTGGCCTCCCGAGTGTTGGGATTACAGGCATGTGCCACCATGCCCAGAAATCTAAAACTTTCTGCGTCCTGACGTAAGACCATAAGTAAAAGAAAAAAAAATTCCACACCTGACCCCATATGGTGGGTGGCAGTCACAATGCAGGCTTCTAAAAACATATTGAGGGCCAGGGATTTAGCTCAGTGGTTCCACCGCCTGCCTCGCAAACTGAGGACCTGGGTTCGATCCCCAGTACCAAAAAAAAAAAAATATATTGAAAATATTACCTTCAGGTTACATGAATAAGGTACATATAAAACCTAAAGGAATTCTGTGTTTGGACCTGGGTCCTACCTCCAAGACATTTCATTGTTTATCTGCAAATGTTCCAAAATCAAGAAAAATGTGAAATCCAAAACACTTTCAGTCACAAAGCACACTCGACCTATAATAGCCAAGTCAAAGAAAGTAATTGCTGAACTGCATAAAGAAAGTGAGTCTGAGTTTCTAGTTCCTGCACCTGAAAAGCTGCTGATTATTTCTTTAAAAAGCTTTCAAACCCACTGTCTTCCTACATTGTTGTTTTTTTGTGTTTTTTTTGGTACTGGGGATCGAACTCGGGTCCTTGCACTTGTGAGGCAGGTGGTGGTACAGTCTTTTCTTACACTAAAGGTTTAAGTTAGAGCATGTCATAGCACAGACTGCTTGCCAAACAATTACAGTAGTCAGATGTTCAAAAGGCCTCTTCAACAGCATTTATGACTGTGCTCAACATCTCAAAGCTATAGTCATAAATGACTCAACTCTTTATGTAACCTGAAGGTTTTAAAAGATGGTATTCAATTTTCTGAAAAAGTGTCCCTGAGTTTGCTTTATGAGCTGTTTTTAGAGAGATTAATTTACTGTCTTTTTCTTTTTACTAAATTGCTCATTTAGTTGTTTTGAAAAAAAGACTTCAAATACAAGGGCTTCTTGCATAATCCACCATCTGTTTCAATGCAGCAAATCTTTTTTTTTTGAGATAGGGTCTTGCCAGGTAATTCAGGCTGGCTTACACTCACTATGTACCCCAGACTGGCCTCAAACTCAGATCTTCCTGCCTCAACCTCCGAAGTACAGGGATTACAGGTATGCCTTTCACGCCCGGCTATCAAATCTGAAGTGATCGGAGACTTCATTAACTTCATCCTTCTGGGGGGTTGGAGATTTAGCTCAGTGGCACCGTGCCTGCCTCACAAGCTCAAAGTCCTGAGTTCAATCCCCAGTACCAGAAAAAAAAAAGAAAAGAAATCTTCATCCTTCAGGGACCATGAAATAGGTGATAGTGATATCCAAACTGTCAGATTCACAACAGCATCTTTTTGAGGCAACACATTTTTTTGTGGTTTATTAGAAAAACCAATTTGTTTAAAAAGCAATGTTTCCAAAGCTGGATGTGGTGATGAATGCCTATAATCCCAGCACTCAGGAGGCTGAGGCAGGAAGATCACTACAAGTTTGAGGATAGCTGGGATACACAGTGAGTTCAAAACCACTCTGACTACATCAAGAAACCCTGTCTCAAAACAAAAATCCTGGCTCTCCAAACTTATGACCCAGTGATTCTGGACAAGTTGCTTAATTTCTCAAGTCTTCAATTAGCCCAACTATAAAATGAAAAGAATCCCAGTAGGGATGAAAGGACCACACTGTTAACCACATACCTTGCAGGGCTGTGGGCACATTATTGGTCCCCGGAAGTCCACCTGAATCTCTTCCACCTGACACTAAGTCCTTTGCTGTTTCCTGGTGAAGTGTGTAGCTCCCATGGTATCCTATTTATATCCCTGCAGCTAGCTCTTGGAGAAAAGTCAGAACTTCAAGCTAACTCTAGAGTTAAGCATCCATTCACTGCTCGTGGAGGAACTCTGTATTCCCCTACGTACACACAGCTCAAAAACTACATGCACCTTTATTCCCCTGGCTGGGACAATGGAGTAGGGGATGGAATCTCCCTGGTGTGAACTGGATTTTCACAACTAATTTTTGTTTCAAAGTCAACTTCTGAGACATTTAAGACATACTATGTAACGATGACCGATACTTTATCCTGCATATACTTATTAGCTCTTTTTAATCCAGATAGAAAACCTGCATGAATGCACTATGTACACATATTGGGGCTATAAAAAGTGCTTATGAACTTTGATATGGTGCATCAAAACACCTGATTTCATTATCCTGGAATTTTATCTTCCAAGTCAGCATGTGGAAACTGAAAACCTTGACATTACTGAAAGACTGGAAAAACTGGGAAGCAACACAGCTTCATAGAATTTGCATGGAAGAGAGGGAGGGGGTGGGTTTAAATCCAGACCATGCCACTATGTGTAATTTTGAAGGAGTCCTGAATCCCAAAGCCTCAGCAACCTCTCTGTGACGCAAAGACATTAATAATAATACTTTCTCAGAGGCTGAAGCAAGGTCGATAAATTTGTTCACAGCCATGCAGCTAGAATCGAGTTTATTCGAGTTACATTCGAGTTCATCTCATTAACGTACCATCTACCTCGTTTAGAGAAGATCAGAAGTGCTTATTCCTTCAAAGGTGCTTTTCTAATTGGGAAAAAAAAGTGCTTTTTCAATTGAAAAGTCCTATACAAAGTATTATTAGTACTACCCTATGTCAATATAAATAATGCACAAAATGAGTTTGTGATTTGCTCTTTAGTACCTGGGATCCCTGAAAGAATAAAAGGTTATACTTTAAGCTCTCTTTCAGCTCTTCTTGGAATGCTGCCTTGACCCACTTTCGCTGGAACGAATCTGATAAACAACTGATTTAAAAACTAAAACACAGACATCCGGATGCCACCCTAAGACACGCCAAGGCCACTCTGCACTCCTGGGAATCCAGGGCACGAAATCCTGGACTTTCCCTAGAAATGCGGGCCGCACAGTTTCTTGAGCGGACTTCTCCCACCTGTGCTTGCAGTCCGAGCTCTGGGGTGACCAGGAACCGGCCACACAGAAGTCCTAAACTTCGCTCAGTGATCACACCTGCGTCCAACCCCAACTCCAGGCGTGCAACCTAAGTAAATTTCCCAATCTCTGTTTCAAGCACAGGATCTAAGAGCTAAAGCTTATCTCTCATGAAGACAGCTAGTCAACTCTGACTCTAGTCTCTAAAATATTTCCCCTGGATCAATGGCTCAGCTTTCTAAACTCCCAGGAGACAGCCGCCCCCACCCGGGCTTCTGGTGTTGACGCTGGAAGTGGGGGAGGTCGCGGCGGGCCTCGCTCTGGGCCCTGGAGGGGGCCCCCGCCCCCCACCCCAACCCCGGACAGAGGCAGAAAACGCGGGAAGGCGAAGGCCTGGTGGGTCCGGGCGCTCCTCGCCCCGCAGGGTCCTGGGTAGGGAGGACCAGGGATCCCCCGAGCGAGCCCCGAAATGCCGCCTGCCCCGCTTCCCGAGCCGAGCCGGGATCTCGCAGCCCCGAGACTGGGATTCACCCGTTCGCCTCCCGTCGCCTCGCGGGAGCCACGCCCTGCGCGCCTGGGTTCGGCAGTTCGGACCCCTAGCCCGCCCGACCCTGGCCTCACCTCGGAGGGCGGGAGGTCGAAGGCGGCCCCGATCTGCGCGTACAGCTCGGCGACGCTGGTGAAGCCCTGCACGCGGCCCGTGGCGCTGCCGTGCGCCAGCTGCGCGTGGAAAACGAGCGCGGGTGGCGTGGGGGGTGCGGGCGGCGCGGGCGCGGTGGGCGGCTCGGCCCCCACCAGCCGGGCGGCCTCCTTGCCCTTGGCCTTCTTCCTCCTGAGCCGCCCCAGGGGCATCCTGCCTGGCCGAGGGCGTGGGGCCACCTGCGCCGCCCGGGCCACCTGCGCCGCGGACTTTACGCCGGGCTCCCGCAGGTAAAGCGCCCGCGGCCAATGGCAGGGCCGCCTCCGCGACAGTGGGAGGACCCGGTCCGCCCGCCTCCTCTCCCGGGGCGAAGGTCCCGGCCAACGGCCCCGGGCAGCTCCCTCCGTGCCCGGGCGGCTCTGCAACCTGCTGGTCCGGCCCCAGCTCCCGCCCGCTCCTCGTCCTCAAGGCTGGGCTTCCGTGAGAGCGGGGAGGGCGGTGGGTGCTGAACGGCAGCCCGGGCCCTGTGCGCTCCAGAAATCCGTGCAGGCACTCACGCGCGACTGGTCCACGCGCCTTTTGTGTCCCAAGGTCTGGACCTTTGGAGACAGAGATTTTTTTAATTTTTATTGGTACGTGTTGGCAGTAATGTTTACATGCCTCGTGGAGAGTTGGTACACTGACAAAACATCTCAATTCTCTTTACGTCCCGCTTCCCCTCCCTCCTCCCTCCGTCGTCTCTCGGTATCCTTCCCCTTTGCGAAGCTGCCTCTCCCTGTTGGAGATACAGTATAACCACAGCTCGACCTGTCCCTGCCTTCCCGCACCTACACCCTGCAGGCCCCAAGGGGAGGCAGAACCGGCGAACTTGGAATTGGTGCTGAGGTAGGTGAGAAGAAAAAAAAGATAGGTAGGAGGAGGCTAGGAAATAATAACCAAAAATTGTACTTTTAAAAAGTCTGCAGCTAAGTCCAGCATCGTGGCACACGCCTGTAATCCCGGTACTAAGAGGCTGAGGCAGGAGGATGGCTGAGAGTTGAAGGCCAACCCGGGCTACATAGCAACATCCTGCCTCAAAACAGCAACAAAAAAAGGAACTGGAGCTTCGGGGAGCCGCCTGCAATCCCCCAAGGCGATCCATGGCCCCATTCCCTTATGAAACTTAGGCCTCTTTCCCTCTAAACCCACCTCACACCCCAAATTCCTCAGGAATACTAAAAGTCCATAAATTAGCTTAATTGAAAAAGTAAAGAGCAGGAACCTGATCCTATGATAAAGGAATTGAGAGCATTCAAAGAACACTTAAATTATTCATTAAAAAAAAAAACCCTGGCCCAACCTGTGAAGTGGGCCAGCACCCTCTAGGGGGTGGGCCACCTTTTCCCAGGGTCTCTATCCCTCAGGAGAAGCATAAATGGTCCCAGTTCCGGGGAAATAAGCGGCTCTGTCTTGCAGCCCAATACACTATCTCTTTGAGTGTGTACCTGTCGATTTCTGCCAAACAAATCCTTCCTGTGCCTCTTACTGAACACTTTGTGATGGCAGTCAGTGAGCCTGCAAACCTATCCTACCAAAAGGGTGGGTTCGGTTCCCCTCCTCAGCTTCAGGAACTTCCTCGGACCCTGACTGGTGACAGTGTCGCAGTCATGTTACCGGATTCTCGGGTTCTGTAGCCTCTTTCCAGGTCCTTGGTGTCCTGAGAAAAGAACTGGACAAGAACTACAAAAGGTAGGGAGGTTTTACATGTATTAAGGCTAGGAAAGGAAGAACACTCTGCATCGTGAGAGCCAGCCACACAAAGCAAGATCACAGAGGCCACTCGGTCAAAAGCTTCAGTCTTTTGTAGCCCTCATTCTCCAGGATGAGGTCAGATCTAGTCCAGCCTATCCAAAACCTATGCGACTTTGCACCAGAAAGAGAGCCCTTTCTGATTGGTCCCAGGTTGAAGCCTTGGAAACCCTGTTCCGCCTGTGATCTCCTGATTGGTGGGTCACGCCCACTCAGAGGGTGGGCCCTGCCTTAGTCTAGTGGAAGTCAGTCACAAACAGGCCCAGCACCTCTCCAGGCTCCTTTCCTGCTTCCGGCTAGGCAGCCTTCTCTCCCGGGTCCAACACTCCCAAGTCATTTGTGCCACCCCTGCCTTTCTCTTGCTTGGGAGGAACCCGCCTCCTTTCCCACAGGGAACACGGAGACCTCTCCCAGTGAGGTGGAGCTCCCTGAGTTCTCACAGCGGTCTGCCGCTCTATCCACCTCAGGAGAAATCCTTCAGTTAGCCCTTGACAAGCTCAAGGACCCAAGTTCGATCCCCGGTACCAATAATAATAATAATAACCTACATTTAGCCCTTGAGCTCATCCCTCCACTCCTGAAGGATCTGTTTTGTTTCGGTTTTGTTTTTTATGGGTTTTTTAGTCAGGGTCTCACTGTGTAGCCCAGGCTGGCCTCAAACTCACGAAGATCCTCCTACCTCAGCCTCCCAGGTTCTGGGATCACAGGCATGCACCACCATGCCCCGAAAGATCTCTATTTTTAAACGACCTATTATTGACTCTTCTTCCCTCCCACTTGGTGCCACAGATGGTTAACATTATTCTGCTATTTTCAAGTCCTCTACCCTCACCCGTTCCCTCTGGCTCCCCCCACACACAAACACAACAAAGCAAGTCTTGCGTTATGAGCTTGCACTTCCTCACCTCTTTGCTTTTGGACTCCACATGATTAGATTTTGCCCTGGCACTCTACTGAAATTGTGCTTGCCGTGGACAATGCCTCTTTTTTTCTTTTCTTTTTTTATTTGCCATACAGGGGATGAACTCAGGGCCTTTGCACTGAGCTACGGCCTCAGCCCTTTTTTATTTTGAGACAGGGTCTCACTAAGTTGCTAAATTGCCCGGGCTAAGATTGAATTTGCAATCCTCCTGTCTCAGCCTCCCAGAGTGGTAGGATTATAGGTATTCACCACCATGCTCGGCTTAAACAGTACCTCTTAATCCCCAAATATAACTAACTTCTCAGTCTTTATCTAACTTGAACTCCTAGGTGTGCCTGACCGCAATGACTATTTCGTTTTTGAATTTTTTCCCTCTTTTGGCTTCCTTACCCTTACTCCACACACCTTCACTCCCCGTGACTCTCCAGGAGGTGTGGTCACCAAGGCCACTTCCCTGGCTGTCTCTTCTCAGGCCACGTGTTCTCTCTGAATGATGCATCGAGGCATCGTCTCTCTTGGCTTTGCCTACACTATTGGTCACAGATGGACAGCTCCATCCAAAGGGAAGGGAGTGTTGTACAGGAAGCTCAAACTGAGACCCAGCAAGCCTGACCTGTCCCTTTCTCCTGAATGGATGCTGTTTGCTGTCTGTGTTCGGGCTGAAGTGGGCGAACCCTGCGCACTCAGGGGCGAGGTCCGATGCCCCTGGGTCGCCACACCCACCTTCTTCCTTTCCCCCCTCGCTCCCATCAGTTCGGTCCTCAAATACATGTTTCTTGGTTCAGGTTAGCAGATATCCTGGGGGAGGAGAGAAGAGTCTGTGAATTCTTTAGGAGAACTTTAAAATTTATGTTTGGTGTTTCTGTGACAGCAAAAGAACACTGCAAACATTCTGATTCGTGCAAAGGAGCGAGTCTGACGCTGCCCAGGGTCTCGGGCTTGAGTTTGACGTGGAGCTGTGATTGCTACTGCACCAAATGGAATTACCTGGTCTTGGGCTAATGAGAGAGTAAAGAAAAATCTATGGAAATGGCGCATTCTGGTCTAGTGAAAGATTTGTGTAAATAAAGAGCTCAGAGCGAGGCGGGAGTGGTTGGTGTTACCAGGTTTTGGGGTGCTGGGGACTCTGTTTAGAGATTCTTCTAGGTCCTCGTCCTGAACAAAGATTGGACAAAATAAGTGTGATTATTTTGATTTTGACATTTATTAAAGGTAGGAAAAGAAACATCCTCTGCAGAGTGTGGACCAATTAAATGTAGACACAGTAGGGCCCTCTACAGGCTGAGAGCCAAGAGCTTCATGGCGACCATATTTGTATCCTCCATTCCTCAGGCTGAGGTCAGATCTAGGCTGTCCTATCCAAAAGCCGCTTGAGTTCTCGAGATAAGAATTGAAGATAGCACTTTCTGATTGGTTCCAGGTGCAGGGCTTGGGTGCATGTCTCCTGGATCTCTGTGATTGACAGGCCCTGCCCTCATCTCCTGGCTCAGTGACATATGCCTGTATTCCCAGCTACTTTGGAGGCTCAGACAGAAGGATGGCAAGTTTGAAGCTAGTCAGGGGTCAGGTTAGCAAGATCATGTCTCAAAATAAAAAGGGTTTGGAGTGTAACTCAGTGGCAAAGCATTTTCCCAGCATCTGTAATGCTCAAGATTCCATCTCTAACACCAAACAACAACAAAACCTCAGAGAAGTTTGGTTAAAAAAAAGTAGGAAGAAAAGTGACATCATAAGGTACATGACAGGTACATTACCAATGTATGGGAATATATGAGGGGATACAGGAGGATGTAAAATTAAGAAAAATCTCCAGAATGCTTTTGAGCTGTGTCAAAATATCAAAAGAAAATGGTGAAACTATTAGCAAGAGTGGTAATTTTGGCTTTTGTATTCTTTGAAATCTTTTAAATTTCTAAGTCTTATTTTTTCCTTGCCTAGCAAGTGAAAGTGTTCTACAAGACCTACAGCAAGTTCACCTTTGATGTAATACTTTACTGAAAGCATCAACTGCATGGAGAGATCGCAGGAGGAGATAAATGGTTCACCAAAATTAAGGTATGTAGTAATGGTTTAATAAAGGGATTGGGGGGCTGGGGATTTAGCTCAGTGGTTATGCCGCCTGCCTCAAAAGTGGAAGGTCCCAAGTTCAATCCATGGTACCCAAAAAAAAAAAATCATCTGGGGAAATAAATACCTTGGCCAATTATTATCCATATCCCCAGGCAGAAGAGGTTCCTGCTCCGTCCTCCTTCAGTCTCACAGAGTCCCAGATGGTGAGTCCACAGGGCAGGAGTCCACATGGTCCCCAGCCTGCTCCTGGACTCTGCATAGCTTTCCCAGGCACCAGGCAGCCAGCACTCCTGTGCCAGCCTTCAGTGCAAAGTGGAGAGAGAGGTTCACAAGACATAGCAGTGTAGGAAAAGAAAGGGCTCATTGCAGGCCTCTGGAGACACGTTTCTTCCCATGTCCCTGAATTCCAGGCTAGAACTCTGATGAGTCAGAGAACTCTAAATGTGAAATCAGGCCACATGTGCTGGTGCCCACGCATGGTGGTGCACACCTGTAATCCCAGCACTCGAGAGGCTGAAGCAGCAGGATTGCCATGAGTTCAAGTCCAGCCTGAGCTAGAGATCCTGTCTCAAAAAACACAAAAACAAACAAAAAACCAGTTCTTTACAACAAAGCTTGGTATTGGCATATACCCTGACTTTTTTCATACATGGCAGGTTGTTAAATCCAGCTAGACAGTTCCTGATGGTAGAAATCAGTTCCTATTCCTCTCTGGTATCCTGTTGAGATTCTCACATAGTGGTATATGTGTAATGGATATCACTAAATATGACAGGATAACATAAATTGACCTTCGCTACTACCTATGACAATGAATTAAATACAGTTAATCAAAAATACTGTCTAGGAGTAAAGCTCAGCAGTAGAGCACTTGCCTAGCATGCGTGAGGCCCTGGGTTCGATCCCCAGCACTGTGGCAGAGAAAAAAGTGTTAGGTCTTCCCTTTACACCTAGATTTAATAGTTCAACCCAGGGTGTCAATGTACAAGATTTCTATTCACTAGTGTTTGGTGTTTCTAATAGCATTAAACTATCAACTGTAAAATCAAATACAAGATGGTTGTTTTTAAAATTCTAAAATTAAATTAATAGTACAACCTTACACATCTGGCAAAAGCAGTATTAGCTTGTTTATAAGAAAACAGGGGGCTGGGGATTTAGCTCAGTGGTTTGGCCGCCTGCTGCACAAGCACAAAGACCCAAGTTTGATCCCCGGTACCAAAAAAAACAAAAAAAGAACGGGTAGGCCAAGTGTGGTGGCACACATCTATAATCCTGGCACTTGGGAGGCTGAGGCAGGAGGATTGCAGTGAGTTCAAGGCCAACCTGAACTACATAGTGAGACCCTTGCCTCAAGACAAACAAACAAGAAAAAACATAGCCATCAAATGAATCATAAGATGGATTTTTTAACACTCTTCCCAGCAAATGTCTCTGTAATTACAGTGTGTAACGTTAGGAAGACTCACACCCCTCTCTCCCCGGTCTCCCCTCAGCCCCGTATGTGTCCAGTAAGCAAATCCTCCGGAGAAATTAAGCACAAGATTCATTAAACCTGCATAGTTTTCTTGGGACTAAATATAGGGTGTGTAGAGTTTCGTGGCAACGATGAGCCACTGAAGATGGCAAACGGGGGAGGAAAGAACTCCTGGCTGACACAGAAAAAAATCATTAAAATAACTGGGAATGGGAAACTGGAAAACAGAGAGAGAAAAGGTAGACAAAGCGCCAGTGTGAAGAATGAAGGTCACAGCCAGTAAGAACAAATGGTGCTTTCCAGGCACTGAGCCCCTGCTGCGTGTCCCGAGCACCCCATCCGTGCAGACCGGCAGCGATGTGCTGGCCGGAAGTCCAAACTACTCTGAGCCTCCAAGGCCACAGTAAGTAAAACACTAAGGAGGCGAGAACAAATGTGAGCAATAAACTAATCTGACCATAACATAAACATGGAAAAGCTACAGGAGGCTTAGAGAGCAGCAACACTCAAAAGGCCACGTATCTTTGTTTTGCTTTCCTTTGCTTGTAATACAGAGTCTCACTATGCAGTTCAGGCTGGCCTTGAACTCACTATGTAGCCCAGGCTGGCCTCAAACTCCTGGCAATACTCCTGCCTCAGCCTCCTATGTGCTGGGATTATAGGCTTTCATCACCACACTCAGTTAAAGGTCACATGTTCTAATCATTCAAGATCTGTAAACAAACTGAAAATAGTCATGGTATGCACACAAGGGGTGATCAGAATATACAGTGAATGTTTAAATTTTTTAAATGTATTACAGTAAAAGACATGTTACCCTTAACCCCCCTCAAAATACTTCGCCTCACTTCTAGCACACTTATGCCATTGTCCTCATCACTTTCTGAAGCAGTTCTGGAAGCCTCTTTCATGACCGGTTTTATGATAAATACAGTGAGTGCTGCTGTCAAGTGCCATCCAGCGGAAAGGCCAGCTCATGAAGACTTTGCTGTGGGCCCTCACCCACCTCATTCACTGGATCTGGCTCCTTGTGACTCCTGGCTCCTCCCCAAAGTCAAAATGACCATGAAAGGGAAATGCTTTGAATGGACTCAAGACAGCATGGCATCTGTGATAGCACAACTAAAGATACTCTGGAAAGAGGACGTCCAGAACTGCTCCAGAAGGTGGCAAGAATGATGGGAGGAATGTGTTGAAAGTGATGGAGGGAATTCTGAGGGGACTGATGCCAGCGTGTCTTTTACTGTAATAAAATTTTTGAAAATTTAAACATTCATCACATTTTTCGATCACACCTTTGATGAGCCTTCGATGACTCTTTTAGAGTTGGGCAAATAATCTCCTTTATACAGGCCCAAAACAGTAGATCAAGTAAAATAAATATTTTCTATAAAAAGAATAACCTTCCAGGCCATAAGAATAACCTTCCATAGTGAGATCCTATCTCAAAACAATAAATCGATTAATTAAAAAATAAAAAGAACAACCTGCCAGGCATGGTGGCCCATAATCCCAGCACTCTGGGTGACTGAGGCAGGAACATCACAAGTAGAAGCCCATCTTGGGCAATTTAGTGAGCTCTAATCTCAAAAGTAAAAAAATAGGGCCGGGGATTTATCTCAGTGGTTCCGCCACCTGCCTCGCAAGCGCAAGGACCCAAGTTCAATCCCCGGTATCCAAAACATAAAACATAAATTTTAAAAAAATTTTAAAATAAAAGTTTTTGAAAGGGCTGGGGATGTAGCTCAGTGCAAAGGTTCTGGGTTCAATCCTCGATATCAAAAAAAAAAAACGTACAACTTCTGAAAATATTTATTACAGTTATTTTAAGGTCAAGATATAGTGATGACAAAAAAGAAACAATAGTAGAGTAGAAATTTTTAAATAATTACGTGAGAGGCCAAAAATATGAAATCTGAGCTGGATTCTTATGGATTTGCTAGAAAAACTAAAACCCTGGCAACACCTGAGGGTCATTAGCTGGAGGCGAGATGATTTCCTCCACTGGTCCACTAGAAACTTGAAATAAATGCACACGACAGGCTCTCAAATATGGCCAAATATTTTTCGTTTGGTTCCATGGTTTCACTGGGAAAACTATACCAGTGTTACCCAAAAATACTCTGCTACATTTGGTAATTAATTTTAGAACACTGAATTTACCCAGTAAGTTTTTAAAAATAGAATTTGACCTAAAAACTCACCCTTATAATATAACCTCAGTAATTCAAGATAACAGAATTCAAGTTTTGCTGTCATTTTGACAGAGGCAGAACTCAAGGAGTATCTGCCAAGTACGATGAAGAGAATGCTGGCTGTGGGCAACCTGAAACTCCAAATGGAAGCTAGGTAAGCACCCTGCTTTCTACTTTTCTTTCCTAAGTCAACTAAACAAATTGAAAAGGTGAGTTTATATACTTTTTTTAAAAAGGAAAAAATCATGCCGGTGTGGTGGTGCACACCTGTATTCCCAGTACTTGGTAGGCTGAGGCAGGAGGATCACTGTGAGTTCAAAGCCAGCCTGGGCTACATAGTGAGTTCAAGGCCAGTCTGAACTACATAGCGAGACTTTATTTCCCAAAAAGTGTTGGAGGGGAGGGTCCTGTAATAAGGGAAAATTATAGGATCTGTTCAAAGATGCATCACTTCTTATACTTTCCACAATGATTATAATTTAGGTAAATTGTTCAGAATACCAAATAAAAACATGAATTTGGATTAGGAGAACTCTCTGAAGTCATCGTGTTGTTTCATAGTACTTGACTTTGATCTTGAATAATTCTTTCAGCCTCCCTTGGCTAATATTTTGTACTTAAAGGTTTTTACATCATATGGATAATATGAGGATTTGTAGATCAAGTGAGAAAGTAGCTAGCACATAGTAAATGATTAAGAAATATTAGTTATTGTGGTGGTGGATGCCTGTAATCTCAGCACTTGGGAGACTGAGGGAGGAGGATCATAAATAAGTTCAAGGCCAGTTTGGGCAACCCAATGAGGGCCTGGCTCAAAGTGAGAAATTTTTAAAAAGGGAGTGGGTATGTAGGTCAGTGTTGGAGTACTTGCCTAGCATGTGCAAGGCCCTGGATTCAATCTCCAGCACTGGAAATAAAGCGGGGAGAAGGAAGGGGGAGGGCCAGAGAGGGGAGAAAAGAAGGAAAGAGTTGGTTCTTCCTGCATAATACACATTCATATGAAAATTACATATGCCAAGATCCTGTAGTATCTTTAGAATCAAATACACGTTCTGCTCTTGGAAATGGTGTTCACATGTCATATTTCACTGTACTCTTCAACTCTGAAAACAGGCCATCTCTATTCTGGACAACAAAGGCAAGGCAGGGGGAATCACAATTTCTGGCCTGAAATTATACTACAAAGCTACTGTGATAAAAACAACATGATAAGGGTGCAAGGTCCTGAGTTTGATCACTGGTACCAAAAAACCAGCATGCTACTGGCAAAAGAACAGACCTAAGGATCAGTGGAAGACTAGAAGATGCAGAAACAACTCCAGACATACTCAGCCACCTCATCTTTGACAAAGGAGCCACACACCTTCAGTGGAAGAAAGGTAGCCTCTTTAATATATGGTGCTGAAAAAACTGTCTTTCCACATGCCAAAGATTGAAACTAGACCCATATCTTTCACCACACACTAACCTAAAAGTGAAAGTGCTAAATACTAAGACAGAAACACTAAATCTGATGGAAGAGAGAATAGGTAGAACGCTTAAGGTCTTAGGAGTAGGCAAGGACTTCATGAACAAAACCCAAACTGCACGGGAAATACTACAAAGAATCGACAACTGGGACCTCATCTTATTAAAAAGCTTTACTAAAGAGTGAAGAGAAAAAATGGAAAAAAAGTATCAGCTATTCACCAAAGGACTATTATCTAGAACATATAAAGAACTCAAAAAAATAAGACTCCCCCAATTTAAAGACCCAATCCAAAAATGGCCATCTGAAATAAAAAGACACTTCTCTGATGAAGAAGTAGAAACAGCAAATAAATATATGAAGTGGCTGGTGACTTAGCGCAGTGGTTCTGCCACCTGCCTCACAAGTGCAAGGACCCAAGTTCAATCCCAAAGTACCAAAAAAATAAATAAATGTATGAAAAAATGTTCAGTATCACTAGTCCTGAAATGCAAATCAAAACAACACGGAGATTCCATTTCACTCCAGAAAGAATGGCTGCTATCAAGAAATCAACCAAAAAAAAGAGAAATCAACCAGTAACAGCCAGGGATTTAGCTCAGTGGTTCCGCCGCCTGCCTCGAAAGCACAAGGTCCTGAATTCAATCCCCGGTACCAAAAAAACCCCACAAAATCAACCAATAACAAATGCTGGAGGGGCTGTGGGGAAAAAGGAACCCTGCTCCACTGCTGGTGGGAGTGTAGACTCATGTAACCGCTGTGGAAATCAGTGTGGAGATTTCTCAAAAAGCAAAAACTAGAGGTTCCATCTGACCCAGTTATTCCTCTTCTCGGTATCTTCCCAAAAGAATTAAAAGCATCTGGGGCCAGGGATTTAGCTCAGTGGTTCCCCCGCCTGCCTTGCAAGCACAAGGTCCTGAGTTCCATCCCCCCACCACAAAAAACAAACAACAATATGTGCACCCATGTTTATAGCAGCACAGTTTGTAATAGCTAAATCTTGGAAACAGCCCAAATGCCTGTCAATCAACAAGTGGATAAAGAAGATTTTGCTTTTTTATACAATGGAATACTACTCTGCCATAAAGAAGGACGAGCTTCAGACATTTATAGCTAAATGGATGGACCTTGAGACCTTACTCTTAAGTGAAATAAATCGGACACACTTGTTTAAATATTGCATTCTTTCTCTAGTGTGAGAAACTGAAAGTGGAAATAAGGACTGAGATAAATGGGAAGAAAGCGTTCAAATGGGGAGGGGAAAAGGGAGGAGGGAGGAAGGAAGGGACAAGAAAAAAAGTGAAAATAGAAGGAAAAAAATGGAAACAAAGCTTCTGTACATGGCGGGAAGGGGTTGGGGGGAGCATGGAAAAAAGGGGTGGGATGCACCATGCATAGGTACAGATTCACTGTGATGAGTGTTATTATTTGTATGCCTAAAATGTACCAATAAATGTTATACTATTTTTTAAAAAGGCCATCTGAACATGGTGTACAAGTTACTCACTATAAGAAATCAGGCCAAGCACAGTGATACATACCTGTGAACCCCGCACTTAGGAGGCTGAGGCAGGAGGATTGCTGCAAGTTCAGTGCCAACCTGGGCTACATAGTGAGTTCAAGGCCACCCTAGAATACATATTGAGACTCTCCTAAAAAACAAACAACAACATCAAGGGCCAGGGATGTAGCTCAGCAGTGCAACATCCGTCTGCCACGCACAAGGTCCCGAGTTCCATCCCTGGTACCAAAAATAAATAAATAATTAAAACAACAAACAACAACATCAAGATCAGGAATCAGAACAGTATATTCCAAACGTTTTGGATTCAGAAAAGTTGGTTTAAATAGTGAGTATTAGTTATAAGAAAAATGTTTAAGACACTTGCAATCCACTCATTTAAAAGTATAAGAAGAAATTTCAATAATTGATATGCTAATCACATTTTTATCTGTTTATTAAATCAGGTCCGGAAGTATAGTTACTTGGCAAATGAGTTTTTCAAGTTGTAAACTGGAAAATAATCAATCTTCATAATACATTGTATTTAATGCTTCTTTAGTTCAGAACATTCTACTCAAATTGTTCCACTTTATTTTGTTACAAAAACATTTTGTATTATCTGCCTCCTTGAACACTTTTCTTAAGTAAAAGTGTTTAAAAATTCCATAAAGCATTTACTATTTATTTAGCATAAATTCAACCCAACAAACACTAAAGGAAAAATTGTTTTATATCAGGACTGACCTAGATTCTGGGGGCAAAAGTCAACTTTCGCTGGCCATGGTGGCACACATTTATCATCCCAGCACTCTGGGAGGGCTGAGGCAGGAGGATTCACAAACTGAACAAGTTAGCAAATTACCAGACCCTGTCTTGATGATGTAGCTCAGTGCAAAGGCTCCAGGTTCAATTTCAGTCTTCAAGACAACCCCCCCAAAAACAGTCAACTTTCAAGAATGCCTAATCTATACAAGGCAGATTATAAACTCTAGAAGAAAATAAACAGGATGAGGAAAAGCTTGGAAATCAGGTTGTCTCACGTGTGAGCTGTGCCTTAATTTTGACACAGAAGTCAAGTAAGAACTGCACAAAGAGAAAAATTGTGGTGCCTTTCTTTCCCCAGAGGTAAAACATAAATTTCATGGCTTATTTTGCAAATGTGCCTGGAGATGTTTTTGGTTTTTGTCAGCCTAGCGATTGAACCCAGGACCATCACATTGAGCTGCATTCCCAGCACTAAATCACTATGGCCCAGGCTGGGCTCGAACTTGCAATCCTCCTGCCTCAGCCTCCTAGAATGCTGGGATCACAGGTGTGCACCACCACACCCGGCTCCGCAGTTTCATTATATAAATCTGAAAAAGCAGTGTGACGGTCCAATACCCTGTACTGCACAAAAATAAATTTTAAATTTAAAAAATTTTAATAAATTAATCTGAAAAAGCAGGTTGGTAACCAGATTATAAATGTCCATAAGTACTAGGAAGAAGTTTGGATTTATTTTTAGTAGTTTACAATAACCGATGATGTCGTTAATGCCCACAGCAGATCACCGAGCGGAAAAGGGCTGGGGATGTAGCTCAATGTGAAGGCCTTGGGTTGAATCGTCGGTACTGCAAAGAAATTTCAAAAATCAAGACAGAGTATTTAGGTATGGTATAAGACATTTAGCCCCAAACACTTACTGAAATGAGCTATTTTCCCCCCATTCCCCCATTTTATTGCTAACTTTAACTCAAGCCCTTTAGTCTCCTAACTCTGCCACATTGTTTCCTATCGGCCTCCATTCTTCTCCGCTGTTTCCCATCCACCTGCCACTCCCCTGCCTGTGAGGAACCTTAGTGTGTTATTACTTTTCTCTTGCTGAGGCAAAACACCCGACACCCAAAGTTAAAAGGGAAGGGGTTTATTTGCCTTACAGCTCATAGAGGTTTCAGTCCGTAGTCGGCTGGCTCCAAGACAGGGATGGCAAACAGGCAAGGTAGAGGAGAAACAACTTGGGGCACACGAGGCAGCAAAGGTAACAGGAGAGGTTTTAACAGTGTCTCCCTGCCCCTTTTATCTTATGCAGACTACTTAGGGTGGTAGCACTCACACCCTTAATCCTAGTGCCCTTGAGCCTAGCATTGCATCATGAATCAATTCCAGCTTCACACACTCTAGATCCAGCCTATGACCACGTGAGGCTTTGGCCGGACATCTAGACCCAAACCGTAACACTCAGTAAATTTGGACCTGTCTGTGTTATTTCCTGTTTAACATTGTTTATTTCCCGTTGCTTGTAGCAGTTGTGGCAAAGTGTGCTTCCTAGACCAGCAGCATCGGCATCATCTGCTAACTTTTATTCGTGTCGGTTCTCAGGCCCCACTGTCCACGGCTCAGCAAGCCTCCGGGCGACTCTGAGGCACACTAAGGTTTGGGACCCCCTGGCTGGTAAAATAAAACACAAACACCTTGAGAGAGTGGGCGAACACCGCTGGCCCCCACCTATTCCCCAGTCTCGCTCCCCAATCCAGTTCTATATTTAACCCTGGGGAAGTGCAGGCGTTTCCCATGCACTGCACCCTTTGCTCTCAGCACTCCAGGCAAGCACTTTCCAACATGGCAGCCTAGGAGACGCCCTGTTCGTTTTTCAAAATTTCAGCTCAAGGGTACCTGAGGTATTGTGGCAAACATAGTTCTATAGAGCCACTGACAAATCTCAATACTGTTCAATCAGTTTTTCGTCTCTGTGAAAAATACTTGAGAAAGACAATTGAAAGAAAGGAAGGTTTACTTTGGCTCACCGTTTCATTTCAGTCCATGGTTGGCTGGTTCCACAGCAGAAGTATCATGGCGGAAGGGCATGGGAGAGGAAGGCTGCTCACCTCATGGTGGCAGGAAGCAGAGGGCCAGGGAAAGACCTTGAGAAAAGATAAACCAGGCATTCCCCCCACTCCCCCATCCCCTACTTCCTCCAGCTAGGCCAGCTCCTAAATTTCCATTACTTCCAATAATGCCACCAAATTATTATTCCCTCATTATCTAATCACTTCCCCAAACTCCATCAGAACCCAAGCCTTCAACACAACACACCTTTCTGGGGAATATTTTGGATCCCAAGGCTAGTGGAAGAACTAGGGTGCATTAGTATTTTGGAGGAAGAGCATAGCCTTTCTGCCAACAACCATGGTCCCTT